AGACATTATGGAGACACCTCTTTCCAAGTACGATTTTATTGCTTTTCCCAAATGCAGCCAGGATTTCGTGCTTTATGTTGTCCTGACTGATGCATTTCATAAATAAGGAGAGCAAAAACGCTAAAATGGGCCATTGAACTCCTTAGAAGCAAATAAACATATTTCTGCTTATGTTCTGAAGTACAACATCAACTTCAACAGCTTTTGACTAGGATGGGATTTTCATATGGGCATTATCAACACAGCTAAAAAGAAATCTTATCACTCACAAATAGCATTAAGATTCACGTCAGAGGGCTCAGAGCCACGCGCTGTGTGCACAAGTACAAGATATACAAGGGTACAAGATATAAGACCTCAACTCCCTCCAGCTGTCTCCAAGAAAAGGGTTTCTTTTTCTGCAGGAGGACAGCTGGACATCAGCCAATTTTGTTTTCTTCCTTATTATTTTCATTTTTTTTCACAGTGCCAGCAAGGATGAAGAAGGAATTATTTCAAGGGCTGATGATCTAACACATTTCACCTCCAGTTCTAACAACCCAAAGACAAGGAGCAGAGAGACCTGACTGGGAGCAAGAGATCTCTGCGTAAGCCCCTTCTGACACAGAGTTTATGCCATTTGGAGCTAAAATGCTCAAGGCTGGAATCTGTCCTGCAGATGTAACTGCAGCCACAGGTCTCTGGATGGACACAAAACCCCCAGCAGGCTGCAAGTCCAAGCACCTCTGTCAGCATGTGAGGGACAGGGGACAGAAGATGCAGCCAGGATGCCACACTGAGATCTTGTCTGATGGGACTGATGTAAATCAAACTGCACAGAACGTTTTGGAATAAATGACAGGAAAAGCTGGATGCTGTTCCATGGGGGTGGGTGTTTGAGGCGCTGCACGGGGCCCGGGGTGGGTGGGAAAGGGAGCAGCTCAGCAGTGCTGGTGTGCATGCCTCCCCTCAGCCTCCTGCTGCCCAGACAACTGGATTAAATTAGAGCAAAATAAGGATTGGGGATTACAGAGAAACAGAGGCATCAACAGTTTTCATTTCTCCCCCACAATTATTTATAATGATACAGGAAAATGAAGAGCAGAATGGATTCAGCAAACAAGGAATAAGAGACAAACCACAGGATCCAGCACTAGCCATACTTTTCATGGCATTTTAGCCTGTTGTACCACATCACAAAGAAATATCTGCGATTCTTGGATGTCTAGCATCTCTCATTTGATCCTGTTCAGGTAACTCTTGATTACATGACAAGAGTTATCAAGGCTCTCATGTTTAGATTATAGCAGACTTTTTTTCCTTCCCACACAGTTAGGTACGCGCTGTTTTCTGAAGCCAAATGAACAAATGAGATGCTGTTGTGACATCCCAGGAATAAAATCTAACAGTAAATCACCCTTGCATGGAAAGCAGTTCTACAGTCAAGCAAAGCAAACTGCAAGTGTCAGCTTGTTCACTGGTAATCCTGCTGAAAAGTAACCCAAAGAGCTGTAGTAGTGTTTGCTAACTTGCTCTGACAGTGGCTTTGCTAAAGAATCACTGGACAAAACAGGCAGATGAGAAACATTCCACATTAAAGACAGCAAAGATAAAAAGACTAGTTTAAACCTCCAAAACAAGGCAGCCAGTGCTGTCCTCCATCCTCTTGAGACCACAGGGCAGTCTGCAGAAGCCCTCTGAGAAATGTAGCATTTTTCACTCTTCACATGCTTCTGATTCCAGACATCCCTACTGCTGAAGTGGTACAGGCAATGAGAACACATTTTAAAACAGCAATCTCCAACCCCTGGCTTTTCTGATTCACTATGAAATTAAATAATTCAGCTTTTAATATATTGTGGAGCAAAGAGTCTTCCCCCGACTGTCAAACCTAATATGTGCTCCAAAAGGTTTTAGCCAACAATACAAATTAAAAAAAAAAAAAAAAAAAAAAAAAAAGAAGAAGAAGAAAGCAAGTTTGCACCCCAAGTGCCAGCAGATGGATGAGTTGCCCTCCTGAGACAGGGACTAAATTACGGGTGGTCAGGGGGAGGTCAGCGAGACAACCGTGCCTCGGCTGTGGGGCCACACCTCTGACTCTGCCACCCCATAAACCCTGCCCTTACATCCAGCCGTGCCTCTTCCCGCTGAGCTAAACTGTGCCTCCATTAAAATTACCCTTCCTCTCCTCCCAGGGCTTCCTCTATAATTTTCTGCTCAAAGGAAATAACAAAGCCAGGGCTGCTCTCCAGCCCCCTCCATGACAGCTCCATCTCCAGCCTCCGCTCTCCTAGCAAGGCCACGTTGCCAAGGATCTTCCCAGCTGCCTTCTCCTCCAAGCTTGAAAGACTTTCCCTGAGTGGAGGTATCTGCAGGCAGGAACATACATTTGGGTTTTCATGACTTTCCTCTGACATCTTGCCAGAGACTTTCATGTTTACACAAAGAATAGCCACTATCAGGGCCAGCAAAAAAAGCTTTCAGCCAACTGAAAGAAATAATAATAGAGGGTTAATTCTCTCATTTCCAGTCCTAAGGCAATACTCTCATGTTTTACTGGTCTTTTTAAACTGAGTTCTAGGGAAATGGGTGGAAAATGTGGAAATCCTATTGCAAAAGCACCTGCCCGCTCTTTTCCCCAGAGAGCCACACAGAGAACATTCTATTATTTAGTTAATTGCAAAGAAACAATTACAAAGGAACTTGGCAAACTCTCTCTAATCACGGCAAGACCCACTGCAGTCCAGTAAGTTCGGCAAATTAGCAAATAAGTGAACATAAAAAGGAAAGAATAACGCAGCTCAAATTGCACTTTGCTCATTTGTTTTGTCACTCTTTGTTTCTATTTAATTATTTAAGGTATTTCTTCATAACATTCTGGTACATTTTGTATAATAATGAAGGTTTACTAGCATGGAAATGCAATACATGGCTATTAAATATCTGCCGAGAGAGGGAAGAAAACTGCCAATTCTCTGAGTAGATTATATAGAGCCTGTTCAGGAAAAATTTCCAGGTTAGATAAATAGAAGGTTCTGCCATAATTTGTCTAAGTTCCAGATAAGGATTCCAGCTTGATAATGGCAATGAAAAGCAATGTTTGTGCAGGACGTTGTAACCTGTACTGCAGACACTCATGGTCAACCCCATTTCTTAAAAGCTCTTCTAATTTTCCATGCATATACCTAAAGGCCATTCAATCACATCCTTTTGTTACAGCAGCCCTGTAACCAAGTGACAGATTTTACAGTATTTCATCCCTAAAGTCATATTACAGCAAAGGCTTTCAAGCTGTGTTACATTGCTGGGGCAGAGGCCCAGCTCTGCAGAGCTGATGGGCTGAGGAGAGGAGAGCAATGAGATCTGGTGTAAGATTGTCTGGCTGATAATCAGGGAGGTAAAACAGCCCTTGACAATGGACATGATGTCCCTCCTGCTTCTTCCCAGACCATTTTGATCACCAAGGTTTTATGACAACTCTGTTTACAGCAATAGAAGCCCTAAAGGGGCTTATGTGGTACCCAGAGCAATGTCTGTGAGGCAAAACCCTCCCAAAGAGAGGGGAGCTGGGACAGCCTGAGCAACACCTTGAGCTGGGACATTGGCTCAGACACAGCTCTGGGGAGGGGGACAACACAACCACTGTCCTGGAGAGCAGGGGGAGTCCAAATCCTCGGGTTTGAAAGGGGTAATTGGGAGAGCCCAGCAGGGTGGGACAAAGGGGAACAGGGTGCAACTTCATCAGGGTACTACACCAGGGTGTAATTCCTGAGAACATAGCAACATTCACTGTGTAATAAAAAATATTTTATAAATTTTATTATATAAAATACTTGCTGTTTAAGGCTATTCCTTGAGCACAGCAAGAGTGGTTACTGAACACCACGTGTAAGCAATGTACCAAACACACACCAAAACCATTGGGCATTGGGAAGGGAATGTCAGCACTGCCTCCACCAGCAGAGCAGCACTTCAGCAAACAGAAGGAAACATCAGAGGAACTGATGCAGCACCTGACCACCAACCATGTCTGAAAATCCTTCCCTAAAAACCTGGAGTCTAACATGGAAATTTTGTTCTTTGCAGGTCTTAATGACAGCCATTGAATTAAACTTTTTTTCTCCCCTTAAAAAGTTTGTATGAGGAAATCAATTCATTAGATGACAAACCTACCACAGAGAGATGCTGCAAAGCTTGCAAGAGTCAAGGGCATTCCAACTTCAGCTACAGACAAATTATGGCTTAATATAACTAAGTGTGAATGTTTAATTGCTTTCAACTGAATTCAAGATTAGTCTGCTCCAAGAAATAATACCAATTTTTTCCATTCATGCCTCATGGATTACCTCTGGTGTTTAAGATTTAAAACTGAAGTTTCTTGTAAGAAATCCAGAGAATATGCCAGAGCTGAGAGGAAATAATAAAAAAAGGTGAAATTTCATTAACATAATCATCCAACAAAGATTGTCTCATCTTGTCCTCTTGTAACTGTTGTAGTCCTACACCAAGGACTCTGCTTGACAGGAGGATGATTGCAGGATTCCCATGATTTCACAGCAATGAACAGGGTCTTCTATTTCCATAAACCAGCATAAGGCTCCTTTAGGGAGTCCTTAAAGGCTTTTTCAGTTCACCTGGAAAGGAATGCACATGTCCTAGCTCCTTCCAGAGCATCACAAACAGCAACAATAACCCAGGTGAGGGGATACACTGTCAGTCAACTGTTGAACTCTCCTCTCCTGCTGTCCCTCAGCTGCTGCCAGACCAGTTTTTAAGAGAAAAAACCCATCAGATCTTTCAATTCCTCCAGGCTTTGGTCAGGAGCACTGCTCATTCCTGATGGGACAACCTTGAACCTGCACTAGAAGAAAGAAGAAATTTCACACCCTACATGTTTCAGTTATCTTGTTACTGTCCATGCAGGAAATCAGGGATAAAAGGTCAGCCCAGCTGTGAAAAGAGAACAACAGAGGCCAGAGGGGCAATGAAAATACAGCAGTAGCACAACAAACACATCAACATTCGGTTATAAACTTTATTTCAAAATTCAACAGTTCAAATAAAATACATTGCAATTGTTTAGCTTTTCAAAGTTCCCAAAATAAATTATATAAAATGCTTGCACAGTTCTAAATATTAAAAAGATCATAAAAATTAATGGTGCTCTCATATGCCAAGATTAATCCTTTTCCATTTTGACTACATTAGAAGTTGCCTGTGCAGGGATTATTTTTAGAGCTATGCAGGAAACAATACAGTTTTCAGGTCTTGATGCCTCAGTAAAGATTTACAGGCAAAGGCACTTAAGGGCAAAAAGAGATCAAGAGAGATAACGTCCCATTAAAGTCAGATCTGTGCACTCACACACAATCTCTAACTAACACTGCTGCAAACTGCAGAAGGTTTTAAGTCAGAAACATTATTCCATATTGACAGAATTGAAAGTGTGCTTTTAGTTTACAGAGGATACAGGGGAGTTTAATTTTAATTCAAGAACTTGACCCACAAGGTTTCCAGGACTTTCTTTAGTGGTGTTTTTTAGAAACAGTGTGTGTGTATTTGGCCTATCTTGGCAGGTTTGAGCCACACTGATTTTTACTGTCCTCAGCTCCCTGTTGAGGAAAAATGCCATTTATTCAAAAATTAACTTTTTCTCCCCTCTTTGTGCCACACTTCTTCCCAGATTTATGGGTGCTGGCATTCAGACAGATAACCACAGAACCACACCTAGTGTCAATCTCTACTCCCTCCAACACATTCCATCACAGTGTACAATAGAACAACACAAAAGGCTAATACTGTGCAGGTTTCTCTTCCTACTGTACCACATCAAACTTCTGATGTGTACTGAACACATAATTAACTTCCAAAGTAAGAGTTTGAAAGCCATGTCAAGGTTAGTATCAGATTTTTGATAGCTGGGAGATAGCACCCCCAAATCTAGGAAGTTTTAGACACATTTGAATTCACCCCAGAAAACGCTTGCTCCTTTCCGCCCAGGTTTCTGCCTGTGTCTGGGTCATCCCAAGGTCCTATCTCCCATTTATCCCAGAACTTGTCTATTGACAGTGCTGATGCTGGTCACATGCTCAGCTCAAACACAAGCCCTTCTGCTCTGTATCAACTTCCTAATACTGTCATATTGCTCATTACAGCACAGTAAAGTAAAAGAATGCTTTCTTCATTGCATTTGCTGCCCCAGTATTTCCCTATAGGATGACAGCCAGGCTGGTATTTGGTATCAGCCTTGGTCCTGACATGTTACACACTCTCCCTTTAATGTGTCAAGACCTCATCTCTGGTTACTCTCTGGAGAGATCCATGACAGAGTCACAGTTACAGACCTGAAATATTATACACAACAACTCAGTACAACACTGCTTCCATTTAGCTAAATGACCCTTCTTCTTAACATGACTTCCAGAAAAAGAAGAAAACAGATCTCATCTTCTACCAGAAGGATTCTATCCCTTTTCTTTTATGTATATTTTTTTATCCTTCCTTCAGATGACAGTCATGTGACCAAAGCACCAGCAGGAAAAATTTACCCAGTGGGAGTGCAAATGACATTCTTCAGACTGCTTTGGGTATGGAGAGCTCCCAAAACTGCCTTTGGAAATAGCACAGGCAGCATTTCCACCGATGGGATTAAATGAAATCAGCTGCATTGTGCTGCAGCCATCCAGTTTCTTCCTTGGCTGCAAGTACTGGCACAAACTATGATAAGCCTCAGATAGTGCTTCATTGAAATCACAAAACTGAGACAGCCCTGACTTATTGGTATTCTGAGAAACAGTGGTGACTGATTTTTAATTTAGAAAAGGTGATAAAAATCTTATATTTAAGAGTGTGCTTTCTGTTTACAGGAGACTTTATTATGCTTTGATGACAAAGAAACCATTAGTGTTTCCAGAAAACCTTCACCACGTGCTTGTAAAATTAATTTCCCCTTCCAATAAGTATCATGATTTATCTAGTTCACCTTAAAAAAAAATCATACACATTTCAATGTCTTTGAAGGATATTGGTGCAACAGTAGGAACTATCTAGTCAAAAAGTACAGCCTGCAGAGAAGATCTGGAAAGACCCCCCTGATTAAATCCTCAACAGCCCATGAACCCTTTGGTCTTTCCATGAATAATTATATTGTGGGTGCTTTTTCTGGATGCAGTCCTAATTTCTGTTATAATCCAACCTACCAGTTCTGCTCCCAAACCAAATTGCCCAGATTAGGTATGAGCAATGTAGTCAGGTGAACATTCCAGACAGCTCTATCTCCTATGTCAAGTATTTTTACACTTAAATTAAGAGTTGACCCTGCAAAAGACACATAATCTGTGACTTTTTAAGCAGAAAAAGCACTCACAAGGGTATCCCTCCACAGCACACTCCTGCTATTACACACCTGCCCTGACAAATCCCAAAAGCTGATTATGTCATCAGACATTTCAACATACTACACATATCATACACACACATGGAAAAGGTCAATAAATAAGAAAACCCAGCTGATATAGTGGGCCTAGAATAGCCCTATGACAAAGAAATGGCTTTCTAAAAGCCTTTACAAGGTCTGCATAGACTGTAAATGTCCAATATAAAAATAAACAAAAAAGATATTAAAATATGATACAGGAAAAATTTTAAATAGCGAAGAACAGAAAACAAATACCAGTTGTACCCCTTTGCATACCCAGGCTGAAAACTAGAGTTATGTCATTTACCACCTTCTGATGAAACAAATTATTTTAGTTGACCTGAAACAAAACTTTGTTTGACATTAAGTATCTTAAGGCTTTATTGCTTTCATATAAATTTGGTAACTGAATTTGTAATCCTCATTGTGAAGCAAAACATCAAAATGTTTTGGCTGAGTTTTTAAATCCAAACTCCTAGCATAGCAGGAAGGTAAGGTTAACAGTCAGTCAGTGGCTTTTAGACATAAAGTCTGCAGAGACAACATATCAAAGAATTACTCCTTTGTGGCTGAAATCAAGTGAACTGTCATTAAAAAGGGGCTGATATTCCCCATTTTCCTATCTTTGATATGCTTGATCTCGGTACAAAAAATTTTGTTGGTGAACCAAATAATTCAAGATCGCCAGAACCTGTTACCAAACCTTAGAAGTGGGTGTGGCTTTTCTTCACCTGCAGCAAGGGAGGGACAACAACAACAACGTCGTCGGAGTCGTCGGAGTGAGCCTCATCCAGGGGCGCACAGGGAGCAGAGCAGGACCTGCCTGAAATGATTCCAGCAAACAAAGTCATCGACAAACAACACTGACCAAAACAAACCCTTGTGGCAGTGTGGTGTTCTCTGAGCCATTCTGTTTCCAGGCCTCCCTGGAGTCACCCAGTAATGGATGACTCTGATCTTTCTGTGCATGGAGCTGTTTCTGTTCCTCTTTAATAAGCCAGAGTGCACAGCAAGGGTTGAGCTGGCACACTGACCATGCACGAGCTCTTTTATTGCCTTTAAATCCTTGCAAGGGGTTACACACACCAAGAAAAGCCATTTGATGCTGAAGCCATTGAAGGACAAAAACAAATATTTATTAAATGGCCAGAAAAGGAAAAATTGGCCCAAGCTTCAACTATGCAGAGGTCACAATGAGACCTTGACCCAGATATAGATGGATCAAAAGCAAACAGATGCAAAAAAACCTGGAAGCTCTCAGTCACTGTCTTTAACCCTTATACATGTACAACACCCACAGTAGTGTTTGCATGCTGTTCTACTGTAATAACAAAAAACAGTGACCACACCACTGGGTTTTTCCCTTTATTTTTTATTTTGTTTCTTGGCTATTTTTCTGGATATGTTTTTATGCATCTCAATCATTCCAATGTTTGAAGAAGTGTTCAGGCTGTGAACAGATATTCCTGATGATACCAGTAAACCCTGGAGAATCAGAGGCATGAAATGAGTATGTACAAAGTCCCTGACACAGAAGAGCAGAACCAGCAGCTCATAACCCCTGTGCAAGAGATGTAGGAAATGATGACTGCTATTAATACCTTCCAGCACAATATCCTCCCCTCAGCTATTAATACCTTCTAGCACAATATTCTTCCCTTAGCTCCACTTATTTTTCAGTTTCAAACATAAGTTCTCTGAATAGACTCTCCCAGAGAAGAAAACAAATCAAGACAACCTGTGGTAGAAAGAGGAAACAGGCAAGAAGCCACAGTCTGAGGTTTTGACCTGAACTGGAGGGCACACAGAGAATATTATCCAGGGAGAATAGACCTGCCATGGGTCTTGTAGTGAAATAAGAGATTCCTGACACAGGAAAAAAAAAAATCCTGGTATGGAAGAGCAGGCATACACAGAAAATGGAACATGGAATAAAGAAAAGGGACCACAACTGGCCCAGGAAGAGAAGAAGAGTGACAGACAGAGCCTGTGAATGGCAAGGGGGATGCATTACATTACATGACACTGATTTCAGCCTACAGAAGCAAGAAAACAGAAGATTTTCCAGTAAAGTGAAAATCTTCTCTGTGCCAGTCAACAAATAATGTCAGAGTCTTTCAGGGAGATTTATGAGACAGTACCACTGGTGATGTGGAGGAGCAAAGGGAACTGCCAAAACCAGGCATGATAACCGGAAGACGCAACTCTAAGAATAAACATATACATGAAATAGCTTAATATTATCCAAATCACCCTTGATTATATCCTGCTCTTGACATATAAGATTTTCTTGTCCTCATTTTCAGTTTGAGATCAACTTTATCTTGGTGCTTGTGAAGGGTAAGCACTGATAAAGAGTTAAGGGTTGTATGTAAATTCATTATGATTCCAAAAAAGCTTGAAATGAAGTTAACAGTTGCAGCCAGAGTGGTCAGTAATATGCAAAGAGAAACATTGCCCTTAATCAAGATTGCTGTGCATGAACAGAACATATTCTTCCTTCCTGTCACTCCCCTGACAGAACAAAACAAAACATAACACCAAGTTTCACAGGCTGAATCGTTAATATCTGCTTCATTTCATGGGAAACAGCAGAAATGGCTTTATAAAATCTCCAGCTCCTGAGGACAAGCAAAGCAGCTTTGAATAATACACTCTTTTAAAATGCTTTTTTTTTCCCCTAGAAAATACAGAAACATCTAACCTGATGTAAACAATGAATTATAAGTCTGCACTGCTACACCAGGATTATATATATTCCAAATATATATATATATATATTCATTCTAGCAGATGTATAAGTTTTTTTAAAACACATTCTCATCTTCCCCATTGTTCTGAAAATAATGCCAAAAGGGTAGTGAATAAAAATGATTTATTGCAATACAGATATTGACTGAAAGCTTAAGATCATTTTAAGACCTAGAGGTCATGAAGTGCCAGTTTGGACTTGGGACAAATGAAGGAAGAACTTGTTCAACAGCTGAATGATTTAAAGCTGTAAGAATTTGATTGCTTTTAAATCACTTAGCTGCTCAAAAAGCTCCTTGTCTCACATCCTTCCCAAGCTGCAGGATGACCACTGAAATCCCAATTTACCATTAAACCCCAATTTTGCCAGTGGATTTTTCTATCAGTCATGAGCTCAGAATGGCAGAGGTGGATGTGTAGTTAACTCTAATTTTAGTTTAAGCTACATAAATCCACATAGCAAAAAAAAACCCAGACCAATCACTGAGGGGTTGCATTTACACCAGGATGCTCTCCTTCCGTTAGGAGGTTTTTCCCAATTCATTTTTGGGAGATTTTGGCTAAACACTCCCATGCACCAGGACCTAATACTTCAGAGAGCTCAGTGCCAGACAGTCTTTTGGGCAGCTGTGCAGTTACAGAAGCACATCCCCAGTGTGCCTCCACCTGGATACATTCTGTCCTCATCCCAGAATTTGAAAACATCTCTCACATTCGTAAAATCAGCACCAAACAAAACCTGGTCTGCTCCCAATCACTCCTTTTTGATATTCACCAGGAAAGGACTGCAAGGAAGAAAGTTTCAAAGTATGGTTTCCTTTCTCTCTCTTCCAGTATAAACTACTCCAGAACTTTTTCACTCATCAACTTGTCATCATAATCTGCAATAAAACTCAGCTTAGGAGACTTCATAGCTAGACAATGACTGTGCTCTGCTGGTATTCATATGACTGTGTTTACTGGGCTTGCCTCATCTTACACTCCTCTTTGGGTCTTAGAAGGGCTAAGCATTTAAGGGGTTCTTTTCTCTTTGAGTAGAAATTCACAACTGATTTACCCTGGCTTTAAAGTGAGCACACCAATGACTACTGCAGTAGAGCTCAGGCAAAACAGGGTGCTGCAGCACTATTTTTTTTCTGGATACTATCACCAGACATAATTAAAGTCACTCAAAACTCAAACACCTTCAGAAGCAAGTACTACCTACTCCTTCACAAAGTAGAATGTGCCTCTGAATATGGAACACAGTGGAGTTTCTTAAACATATTTTCTTCCACTTGAGTGTTACCTCTGTTTTCACAAGCCCTGCAAGTCTGGCTTACTCCCCACCTCCTATCTTAGAGAAACAGCCTCACTGCTTACAGCATTCTCTGTCTCTGAGCAAGCCTGCAGGGACTGGCAGCTTTTCATTGACAGAAAAAACGAGTCAGTGTTTCTCAGGTCACACTCAAAGTTGCTCCTTTTTTCCACAACTAGTCCATAAAAGCCTAAAATATCCCACTCTGGACAGAACCAGCCCTTTTCAATTTAACTCCTCTGAAGCTGCATGTCCAAGGCTGTCTTATCTGCAGCATTGTTTTTTCTTACTCAGTACTTCCAATATCCTCCTAAAAGCCTCTCTGCCTTTAACTCCATCTTCTCACAAACAGCAGTAAAGAATCCAAGAAGAAAACCACATGGCACAAGAGCCACAAAAGAGACAGATTTTCTCAGTTTGTATTACAGTAGTACTTGCTGGCAAGGTGATCCAGGACTTCATTTTTCCCCTTACTGCAGCAACTGAAGACTGCTGAAAAAAAGGTGACTAAATGCATATGGCTGCCTAGGATGGCTCTTTTTAGCAGATGTCTGTCTGCCTGTCTTGTGCAGAAACTAAGTCAGGGTGGTGGAAATGCTCTCAGCTTGTCTATGGCTAAGGGCCTAAAAAGTGATGGGAAGTACCATATTCCAGCTACAGGGCTGAAAAGGAAGCAGAGAGGCAATACAGAGGAACACCATGTTCCCTCAATAATTACAACTTACACCAGAGACCTTCCAAACCCCAGCTGGGACAAACAGACAAAGCACTGTGAAGAAGCTGGTGCTGAGACTGTCAGAGCTTTTATTTTTTTATGTAGGGAACTGCTCGTGCCAGTAGAAGCAACATGTCACCAAATAAGGAGTACAAGGATGCACATGTGTGTGCACATGCAGATGTTCTCTATAAAACTGTGCATGCACCCACTCAAAACACCCAGACTTTTGAACATAGGGGAGGGAGATTACCAGGGAGAGGAGATGTGAGGACTGAAGGTCTCTGGAGAGCTGCTGGGCCTGGTTTCTTCTCTGTGATGTAAACTGCAGGATCTGCTTTCCCACTGGGAGCACTGGGCACAGAGGGCCTGCAAAGAGACACACTCAGAGCATGAGGCACAGAACAGTGTTTGCAGTCTCTCTTTCACAGGCTGTGCTGGAAAGTTTCTTGTGTTGCTGCTTTATCACCTGCAGAAGTGAACCCAGACACTAAACAGAGGTGACAGCCATGTAACTCTCCTTGTAACCACGGCAGCCAACATTAAAAACTTTCAGAGCACTAAACCCTGGAGAGAAAGGAAGTATTTTTCACCATAAAGTCACCATAAACCTAAGCAGCAATCAAATCCCTGCACCCTGCCTGAGCTAAGTGACTTGATGGCATTCTAGCTTTTCCCTCCTCTTCCTCCACATAACCCTTCACCTGCACATGTCAGGGCTTCAGATTCACACATTAAGCAAATGTATCAGCAATCTGTGTGATAACAACAGTAACTTTTCTGTTCCAAAGAGTAATTATTTCACTTTACTTTTACTCACTGCTATGGAAGAGAACATGCAGCAGGATATGGGAAAACTCCTCCTTCCACAAAGCTCCTCTTAGTTGCACATCTTTTTAATCTTCTCAAGAACAAGCTCTCCCTAGTCTTTTTTGTAACAATGGCCTTGTTCTCCTTCTCTGCCAGGAAAGCCACACTAAAATTCTATTTAAAAAATACTCCTCTCCCATAATAAAAATGATTTTGCTATTGCATGTTGCATAAGTATCTACTCCTTGCTTACCTCTCCTGAAGAAGTCCTGTACGTGCTAAATGAGCCCTGAAAATGGACTGGATGAATGTCACAATCTCATCTCTCTCCTTGCAATCAGAAGAAAAGCTCAAGCAGTCTGACATGGAAGACAGGCAGGAGTTCTGCAAAGCAATCAGATTAAAGAAAACTGACCTTTTACAGATTGCACAGAAGCTTGACAGAACCTTTCACAATCTCACTCTTGATTGTGAAACTGGCAGTAGAACAAACATCCCCATCTTTTGGGCTGCAGTTTTTAAGATTCTGTAAGAGTAAATCAGCAGGAAATGCAAATCTGATCATCATATAAGCTTTGAAGTATCAGCATTCAATTAATGAAAGAGCACACACCTGCAAGGAAAGTTCGTTTATTTTCCAGGAAGGAAACCTTTTGAAGTTTAAGGAGGTAAGACAACCTTCATAATGGATTTATCTTCTTCTATCAAGCCAAGTATTCATTCCTCCTACACTGGGCCAGTTTATCAGAATCAACGAGCATGGAAAGTGCAATCAGAGGGACAACTTGGATGGAGAATTACAAAATAACTATAGCCTGCTAAAGGTCCAAAGGATATTTATATAACCTGGCAAATGATTTACAGAAACTGAATGTTTAATTGGTAGGGAAATTTTTTCATATTCAGAAATAAATAATCTGGAGCAAACTGGACAGGATAGAGGACACCAAGTCTTGGGCTAAGCATGCCTCACCAAGGCTCCTTTACTTTTAAATCCAATAAAAGATGTTTTCCAGATTCTTATTGCTGAACTTCGGTGAAAAAAGTTTATCTATTACTTCAGTGATTGAGTAGTGAACCCTTGAGAGCAGGTAAAGCTTTGAACACCACTCCAAATTAAAGAGTTAAAGGCTGTGTTATCTGATGGGAGAATCAGGGGAATTTAGTTACAGTCTTACAGACCACAAGGCTAAGAAGTTACAGCTTCACTTCTAAGAGAAAGTGTGAACTACAGAAAGTAGGAAGGGAAGCCAGGGAATGAGCTCAGTATCTTTCTAGAGTTACAGTGATGTTGCCAACCACCACATTAAAACAATTACTAGGTGATTCAACAAGTTAAGCCTGGAAATAAAGTCCTTTACACTGCAAGATAAACACAGGGTGATGCTGGGGTACCCATCTGCCCCCACAATTACCTTGGTGGGAGACTTTGCATCAGGCACCTCGATATCCAGCAGCACTTTCTGTCGAGATAAATGTCCTCTGAAGGCTGCCTGGAGCAGAACAGCTGCCTGGCATGGAGAGAAGTGGCCATTAGCTCCTCTGAAAGATAACCCACAGACATTACACCTCCAGGGTAAGCTCTGGGGGTTAAATTCTATCTGGGAGGTGGTCAGGACTGATCCTATCACATGCAGTGAAGTTCTAGTTGCCAGCACCAGCCTGTATTTCACCAACACAGCACCATGCTCCCATTTCCACATGAGATTCTGGCTACCCAGAGGGTTCTGAGATGCTCTGCTACAATCAGAAACCAAGCCAAGCCTGGCAGACCTTGCGGTGATTACACTGAATGCAAGGCCTTCCACTCCCCTCAGGGATTTTACTGGGCTTTAATCAACAAAAAGCATTTAGAACAGCTTGTTTGTGTCACGTGGTTAGAATTAGTTCTAATTTCTGAAAGTGGAATTTTTAGCATTCTGGAAGAAACAAATATAAGATGCTACACTGTGCTACTTGAAAAAAAAAGTTTAATTACAACCTGTTTGCAAAACATTCATTAAGAAGCGACTTTATGTGACAGATTTGTCTCTATCTTCATAATTCTCACAAACATTTTGCCTTAGCAAAAGCTCCAAATCCTATTTCAAGTCTTTCTGAAGATTCATCATAATGAAAATTAAATCAGGATTAGAATTATCTCTTTCAGAAAAAATTTCCTGTCTGTTGGTATCTGACTTTGTTCAGAATTTTCAGAAGCTCTCACCTTGCAGAAGGTGCCAACTATGGAAAATTTGAGACCAAAAATTTGAGACCACTGACAAAATACGTGAAACAAAATCAGGATGTCAGAAGGAAGATTATAGGCGGCCTGAAGAACAAATGTTGTGTTGGTTGTTTGCCCTTTGATACAATTGAAATCTGTTGTAGTGTTTTGTTGGGTGTCATAAATGCACTCACCTCATCCAGAGCAATTTCTTCTTTCTGAAATGAAAAATGCCCATGTTAATGCCAACATATATACAAGTTTTAGCTAATAAAGATTTGTCAAATTTTCCCAATAATTAATAGACACAGAAAACACCTGTCCCAACCCCTGCCAAACTCAAATAACATAATCTTTCCAGATATGTGGATAGATGCTAAAACAAGAGTTAAGATTCAGAGGGGGATGTCCTTGCTGTTCCCTGATAGGAGAATCTCACCTTGGTTCTGTACATCTTCCAGTATCTCTGGATAATTTTGGCTGCTTGTTCTTTCTTGTGATTTTCTTTGCTTGTGACTGTGCAGAGTGGTGGAGCCTGCAAAGGAGAATCTCTAAGTTAGAACAGTAAAGACAGAGCTGTGAGGGAACAGATTACAAATGACTCAGGAAAATCAGCACCAGAGCTCATCCTGCCTGCAGGGCAGAAGGAAGTTCAAGATGAAACTCTTAGTTTTGAACCCTGCTTGTGCTCAAACTCATCATGGAGATGACTCTTAAGAGTGAAACACATCCCTGCCCCTTTGCAGCCCTCAGCAGGGCATGGGAATGGAAGTTTCCATTTGCACACACTCCTGTTTTTCTGTGCATTGCTAAGGCACTGCTAACCCACTGCTTTGTTGCTCAGAAATTATCTGCATGTTATCAACAGACTGAGAACAAAACTCAGGTTATCTGATTTTGCAGTTCTCCAGGAAAGACAAGTATTAATTAACCAGGGAGGTCTCTTAATGTCTCATCCTGGAAACTGTGGCCCTATAATCACCTCTTTAAGCTTACTGAGAGCTGGCCATTGTATGACACCAAGCTTGTGTAAGTTGGCATAAATCTACTCTTCTATCTTAATGAAATTAATTAGAGGAAAAAGGAAGAAACCGAGAATAAAACAAGATTTTGTTCCAGTAATTTCTCCCAAGGTGTGGTTGCATATTCCACCTCTCACCACTTGATCCTTCTGATCCCTAATTATCCCACTTTAATTGTCATACCTCACATGCCAAACAAAAGTTAACTGCAAGTTTTAAAAGACTAATTTAATTTGTTGGTGTAAATTTTTAACCAGAGGAACAAGAGATTTTATACTCTGAAAAAACCTCTTGATTCTGTGAAAAGGATTTATTTATAACCTAAAACTGCCGAGCTCCAGGCTTAAGTTTAGCAAATGGATCATGTCATATTAAAAATGACAACCTACTATTAAAATGAGAAATTGGTAGGAACTTAGTGATAATTACAAATAATGGGAACATTTCAATAAATGGATGGTTACTGGCCAAGAATATATATAGTCTGCAGAGGGAAAAAGGAGCTGTTTGTTGGCTGTTTTTAAAGACTCCAGTTATTTGGTATTCAAAACATCCTCCAGCATCCATGAGCCTCTAACACACAGAAAAGAATCTACAGAATGGCACAGTATATCAGAAACCAGAACCCTCTTAAGTCACTGGACATTTTTATTAGTATTCTTTACTATGTGTATTTCAGGGTCTATTTATTTTTAAGTGCAAATCAAAATCTCCAGTAATAATTTCCAAGTAGTATTTAGTGAAAGGAGATTAACATGGCCACAGTGCCTCTGAAAGCAGCTCTGTCAGTGCCCATCCATTTCTACTGGCCAATTTCCACATTTGGAAGAGGGAAATAAGATTGTAAAGATATCCAGCTCAGACATATTTCACAAAACCCCCAACTGATTACAGAACCACATTTAAGACTGTCCAGGATTAACAGATGCATGAATATATTTATTAGGTATGAGAAAAGCCAGAAAGAAGAGTTTATGAATACCTCAACTCTAGAAAAACTTCACATGGAAGTGAAGTTCACTTATTTCATTGTATTGACATCTTCCTTAATTCTTGACTCAAATATTATATTCCACCAGCAGCAGAATTAAAACCCTCTCAATTTCCATGATGATTAGTGCTCTACATCCTGTAAATCTTTCCATGGAAAAGAACCTCACTTCCATCCTAACAGAAAAGCAAGCAAATATTTTCTGACTGGACACCTCTTGGGCTCTAAGTGACCACCTGGAAAGCAGAAAAAAAACACTGAAAAAGGAAAATTCCACTGAAAAGGGATTTTTATCTTTTGTCAGTCTGCCAGTGAGCACATCTACCTTTGCATCCATTCTTTATCTAGCTGTCAATTCCTACAAAACCTCCCTTCCTCTAAAAAATCAGACTGAAATTAGGCAATGGCCTCAGATGCTGTAAGAAGACAAAAGTAACCACAAAGTTTTTATTTAAGCATTGGGAAAAGCCCCAGATACTTAAGAGTTTAAGGCTTTTGCAACACTGAACAAGAGAAAAAGCAATGCAGAGGATCACTAACAGAACAGCTTCCAAAAACTCCTCAAGTTGCCGTGTTAATTGCTAATTGTTGAAATAACTTATTTCTAACAAATAGTGGGAGTTAACCATCATTATCTCTAAGACAAGATTTAATGCATCTCTGAAAAAACACAACTAGAAGCTCTTCAGACTACCAGCTCCATTTGAAATCTGTATCAGGCACAAGGAAAAATGAAAAACACAAACAAAAAATGTGGCTGTACCTTATTAAGCTTTTCCACTGTATCTTCTGCCATTTGTCTTTTCTCTTCCTCCATTTTTAACTCCAGTTTCCCTACTTTCTGTGTCAGGTTCTGGATTTCCTCACTATGGTTGGAAAAGCAAAGATATTCATAGATTACAGAAATTTTCTGTTGACTCTGCTTTGAAAATACTGAACCTATTTCATAGCACTTGGTTGCTTTGAGTAAAAAAAGAGGGAAACTGCTCAGGATGATACCTGTTCTCATAGTAACAGACATATAACATCAACTCTCAATCTGTGATAGCACAGCCTTATGGTAAAACTAAGAAAGTCCCAAGGTTACTGTGATAGCCTTGATACTATTAATAATGTATTTAGATCTGCAACGTTTTTATATTTGTCAGACAAAGTCCTTTCTCACAGAACAATATTGGAATCACTTTTTGTGCCTCCCTTGCACAGGATTATCATTCACAGTTGTACAGAATACAAGGAGTAACTGGAATAACACAGAGGCAATGGTCTAGAAACACAGGCTAAGGTAAAGAGAGTGCAATGTTTTCCTAGACAAAAAATGTCTGAGCCCAACATAAAAGCTTTTTCCATTTATCTTATAAGTTTTATCACAATTTAGATCTTATTTTTGTAAGATCTATACTCCTTAGTCTTCCACTTCCTCTAAAAGCACCCTATAGAACTCTTCCCCCTAGTAACTTACTCCATCCCTCCAAACATTTCTGCTTAAAAGAATCCCCAGCATCTTGCAGTTCAGATGAACTCCTATAGAATTTGAGCCACTTCAAAAGAGAATTATACTTTAGGAGATTTTTTTTGAGGGGTTCTGAGAGGATCTATTAATACAAAATGCTTTACCTTAAAGTTTGCTCTTCTGTACTCTTTTGTTCTATCTTATTCTGCCACTTCTGCAGCTCCAGCTCTACTTCAGCCTTAGCCTGCAGTAACTGCTTGATATCTAATCTACAAAGGTACAAGGAAATCAAAGTGATACCTAAGACATTCATACTCCCACAAAGTAGTTATTTTTTTCTTTAAACTTCTAAATCAGTTGGGTTTTCTCAAATTCATAAAGTAACTAAATGTTTCATTTTTCCTTTTATACAAAACAAAGTGCAAGCACCCTTTGCTGAGGAGCAAAAGGCCTCCTCACATGCTCTCCCTGTGCATTTTTGTTGAGAGGTGACACAGGAGGCAGTGTCACCAACACACCTCCCTGTGGGCATGTCCCTGCTCCCAGTGCTCAGATTAACCTGCCCCAAGGCCCTGACACACCAAACAGTCCAGGAAATACAAACTGCAAATCAATCACTTCTGGGGAGAGCAGAGGCCACAGAGGGCAGAAGGCAGGTTTAAATGGAGAAAGTGGGAGATCAGGACAAACCATGTTGAAAAAAAAAAAAAAATACACAAATTTTTACAGCACAATATGAGCAAGAAGTCCTGCATAAACATATAACCCTTCAAAGGGTTTTCAGTGTGGTTGGCAGAAAAATAAGCCTTGAAAAATGTGCTAGAAACAAGCAGAAATTCTCATTTTCCATCCTTTGGCTTTTTTTCTGCAATGTAATTTTATGAAGCAAGTAGGATTAGAAAGAAGCTTTTCAAATAAAAACTGAAGGGATTCTCAAAATTAATTTTCTAGCTGAAAATGTGAAGTCCTTATGACATCATTTCATAACAGATCAGAAATGATGAAATAATTCACACTTTCAAAAGAACATTCCAGATAAGAGTCACACTTACTCTTTACTGAGCAGGAGGTTCTGAAGTGCCTTCCTATCACTCTTCAGTTTCTTCACCAGCCTTTGGAGGCGACAGCATTCCTCACCATGGTCTAAAGGTTGGGATGCTGGATGATCCAGGTCCACAGAAGGTGAAGATGACACAGCAAGCACTTGTGATGCCTCACTATCAGCTGAGGACACCCTGCTGCTCTCCATGGCACACACTTTCTAAGCAGGGCAAATTTACATGGCAAACACGCACAAAAAGAAAAAAAGAAAATTAAATTTAGCATGAAATTACCTTATTTAGGCCATGAGAAAAGACCAGCTTCAAAACATGCATGTATATCTAACAAGTGTGATAAAAGAAAACAGGAAGGGAGGGTTCATGCTACAGGCAGCAGGTTATGTGTATGAGGCAGAATGCACAAGGCTGACATTGAAGGACAACATGCCAAGAGCACAAGGCAGTGGTTCTGCATTTTCTATTCCCACACAGGTAAGAAACCTACTTAACTATGACCACTTACTTTTTCTAGATCCGAAATCCTCCTCACCAGCCTCTGTCTGCTCCACTCGCTATAATCTAAATACAATAACAAAGATTTAAACACGTAACTACATCCATGGGGCAACGTTGTTCTTGCTTTTTAAAACTTCTGGCTATATTAAAAGACCATTTAAAGATTTCTGAATGCCAACTTTAAATATCTACCAATGAAAAAATGAGAACGGGCTTAAAATATCTGACTTCTAAACCAATTAGCTCCAAAATCAATATAAGCCACTCACATTCACCAGTTCTCAGCTGCTGAAAAAGTTCCCTCTACCAATTACAGTTTAGAATTCCCAGGGACAATAATAGAGGAAACACAGAGCTGACTGGAGAAATCAGAGACTCCTGAAATGCTCTCATTCCAACTTTGCCACTCCTGAATCACCTTTGTAATAACTCCCTTATTTCTACCTTGGTAGGGTCCCTGTCACACATCTTTCAGATGCACCCAAATCCCTTGCCCCACGTTCACTGATTTTCTAGCACGTACTTTTTGTTTTACTGGGAGGAGGGGAACTGGTCAGCACATGATCCAGATCTTCCTTCAGCCTCTGATTCTCAGCCTGCAATTCCTTGACGTTCCTGGACAACCTCAGCACAGCAGCATTCAGTGACTTTAGTCGTTTTTGGGTGTCTCTGCCCTCTGTACTTGGAAAAGGGGTCAAAACCAGAAAGTTAACTTAAAAGCAGAGAACAAAGAAGCAACATTAAGAACAGTGGAGCAGCTTCACTATTTCAGTCAGATGGTTGAGCTGACAGCCTCAGTTTCTCCATAATAACATTTCTTGTTTCTTTTTATTTGGGGAGTTACCTGTTCTCTTCTGAAAAAGCACACAAAGATCATCTCGCTCAACACTTCCACATCTGTTTTAATTTGCATCAAAGAAAAAAGATACTTTGAAACACAGAAAATGCATTTAATACTTCCTCCCCCACTCTGTTCCATCTATGCACAAACAAGGGCACTTGTATGAATGTTGCTTATCTTATTTTCTGTTTGTTTTGTTAACCAACCTTATAATGCTTCAACAGCACTCTGTGAAGGTCTGATTTAAAAAACACTTCAGCCAACTGTGAGACTCCTCAAAAAAGAAAAAAAAAAAAGCACAGAAAGCCAACCTGCAGGTTCTGGATGGCTTTGGTTCACTCACAAATATTGAGACTGGGGGCAGAGAGAGAGGGATAGACAGAGATGGAATAACTCTCAAAGAAATCCAACACCCAAGTGTATTTTCAGGTAACTGGGAATAGTGCTCTACCGTAAAAGAAGCTATCCTTGTGTCTATAAACCCCAGAGAGATTTGATACAGATTTGAAGAATACAACTAATATAGAAATGAAAGGCATCAGAAATGGGAAAGCCTGTTATGTGTTAAAATGACTTTAAATATACTACAGGGATTTTTAGCTTTTTTCTAATAAAGTGAGGGAAAAAATCTGAGCTTCTAGATGTTGCAATGTTTGTTCACAAAACAGATTTTTAGTGAGACAAAATATTTTTTTTATGGCTATGAGAAAACTCTTAAAAACTTACTTCTGGAAATAAAGGCCTGAAGTAACTGATGGACTTAGTTTTGCACAAATGCCACTGCCAGTGACAGCCACAGAAGAGTTTGTGAAGGAATCTTATATCCCAACCACTGGAATAATTACAATGTAAAAGGGGAGACAGCCTACAGTTAGGATATCACAGTGAAAGGCTGAATTTTTAGCTGACCTCCTTTTTAGAAATTAAAAGGCAATAAAGAAAAAACAAACAAATAAGGCTGTCCAGATGTCATGGATGACTATTCACACAGCTGTCCCAGGCAGCAGGGGGAAAAAAAGAGTAAAAACCAAAACACAACACACCATCAAAATGGGGTAGTGACAGGGATGATACAAACCATAACAATACCACTCAGTGACATTATTTTAGGCCCATCTAAATCTAAATTAAAAAATCTATTTCAGTCCATTTTGAGGGCTTGAAAAATTAGTTTCCAGCTACAACTGGATACTACAGCTTCACATATAAATAACCATACTTCACTATTAACACTGAAAAAGAGAAGCCAAATGCCATTCACTTCAGCCAGAACTAATGGAGACAAGGATCATGAAAGAAATACTCTCAAACAACTCTTTCAATATGCCAGAGTCCTGACCTTCAACATGATTTATTATTTCAGTGCTCAGCCTCTCCAGCAGAGACTGACAGTCACATAATGGAGAGAAACTGCCCTGACCACCACTTTTTGAAGCTATGAATAAATGAGGACAAGGAAGAGACCTGATGACTCGTTTTTACCTGTAAATAAATTAGGTGTGATGGTTTAGAGCCTTGAGAGGCTGGTCACTGCAGCCCTGAGCCAAAATATTTATTTTTTTTTAAAAAAGTGATAAAACAAATTGCAGTTTTCAATCTGTGAGTGACAGTGAATTAGGGAACACAAGCAGTATAAATAATGACCCTACGGAGTTATCACATGTTTCTATTGATCTAAATAATTACACTCAAGACAGTTGTCTGTACTTAACACTAGGAGGTAAGTATATTTTGAAGTGGTGTGGTAACAAATTTTACTGTCCTACAAGACACTCTTACCCTTCTCTCAGCTTAAATAAAACTCACTTGCAGTGATGCTTTTGATTTGCTCTCTTAGTGGGGCTTTATCTTCTGTCTTTGTGCTTTGACTTTTTTGCCTCTGTAAACTGTTCACCTTCACCACCATGCCCACACTTGCACACCAGTGACAAGCACTCCTACAAGCTTCTCTGACACAATTTACTAGTCTGTGTCTCTGTACCAAAGAAAAATAATGTTTACTCCAAGAACATTTTCTTTGCAGCACACACTCTAGAGCAAGCTGCAGAACTGACTCAAGTGTGAAATGCCAAACATCCAGGGAGTTTGTTTCAATTACCAGTGATGCCAGAATAGGTGTGATTATGAGGGAAGATGCAACAGAGATAAATTTTCAGCGCTATCATGTACTTTTTAAATAGCTCTGGTATTTTTCCACATGCACAAAATGATCTATCTACAAGCAAAAAAAAATATGACTAAGTCATATTTTAAGGCGGTGAAGCAAACCAAAGCAGTACCAAAAGGCAAATCCAGCAATCTAAATGACAAAAACTGTTCCCATGTAGTAGTTTTCCATCAGTTAAAGTAGGACACAAGTGATGTATCAAACACATGCATGCAAACATTTGCATCAGAAGAATTAAACATACTTTTTCCTCATAGTCTCAGACTTGGCCAGGAGGAGCTGGAGGCGATGAACCTGTGAAATACAGATTCCATTAAGGAGCATTAGCAATGACAGCTTCCACAGCAACACATTTCATTAGGTGAAAATCAGAACAAGACTCTTTGGGTAGTGGCAGAGCTAATGATGCCATCACTGACAATCAGGCTACTGTTAAATTTGCTTCCATCTCAACATTATATTTATGGATGTACAGTGGGTTCTTTATTTGCCCTTTTTCATTAACACATTCAACTTACTGAAGAATTTAAGATTTTTTCAGGATGTTCAGCTGGAGCTATGAGAATAACTATGAAAACCTGCTACCAATGACAGGTGTTGTTAAGTTATAAGAAACTTATCTTAAACATTCCATTTAGGCTTTGACTCAACAGCTGACCAGTTTCCTGTCCTGCATGCACACTGAAGGACCTGCCAGACATACCTCTTCATAGTAGGTTTCCATGGCTAACCTCACTTCTTCCAAATTATTGGTCTTCACGTCTGACTGGAATTCACTGAAAATAGAATGACACAAAAAATAATTCGGTCAGATCAGTGAAGACACTGCAATCTGGTGGTTCATAATTTTTTGGTTCATAATTGCCAATACATTCTTAGGAGTTTATGAAAATGTCTTAAGGAATAGAACACAAATGAAAAATAACATGGATTTCTAATTCTCTTTATTAGCTCACCCAGTACAAGCCTCTACCCCCGCTGCCCCCTCAGAGTCATACTTAATAGTGTTGTCTTTCTCTTTGCACTGCTCTTCGAGCTTGACAATCTTCTGCTTTAATCCAGTAACCACCTACAGAAAGAACAAAGAGCTCGTGAGTCCTTGAATAATCTGTCTCTTCACAGGTCTATTCCTGTCTGTCCTGTCTTTATAAATTGTACCTAATCAGATACACTTATTTCTACATATTTCAGTACTTAGTAAATCATACACATCTGCTACCCTGTGAAAAAGGGAACACTGACAAAATCAGATGCCTGATTTCATAATGAGCTTAAGAATATGGATACACAACCATAAAATAAAACCAACATTGCTCATTACCTGGCCAATGTCAAAGCAGCAAATGATAGGGAGAATACCCTCTAAATAGAGTCAAGACAATGACAAAGAAAGCTCCCCAAAATAATGTTAATTCTAGATCTTTGTTACTGACTCCTTACCTTCTAACAGACAAAGGTTATGTGATTCCCTAACTGATCATTCGTTCTGACCTTATTTTATTTTTTAGCAGTGTTTCACCTTAGTAAGAGGAAAAAGGACAAATGAAAGCAGGAAGTGATGAAGACACTCTTACCCATCCATTATCAATCTTCTTCTCAGACAAAGCTCATGCCAGCTCAGAGCCCAGCAAAGTAACACAGAAAAAGCAAGTGACAAACTCTGCTGCTTTATTCTACTGGTGGCTCTTTCCACAGAATTTTCCAACCTGCTCAACTCCACAGTCCAACAGCTGAAATTCTGAACTCCCTATGCACACAGCTTTGTATTAGCAGGTTTCTCCCAAGATGTAGGTCACACAGTGACAGCCACAAGAAATTCAGTAAGATTCAAGTCTGACTATAACCTCAAACACTTCTCATCAGGGCCTGACAAGGCTGCTCTTCTGCCTCCTGGTCGGGTCTCAGGACTGCATGAACCTGCAAGAGGTTAACCCCCTTCTACTCTCAGGCAAAATACTCAGAAAGTGGCCCCTAATGAGACAGCGTTTTTATTTTACCTTCAGAAATTAAAGGTATTTGTGCTAAAAGAGCTTATCTGCACTGCATGGCATCAACTTCCTTTGAACTGAGCTGGCCTGCTGATCTGAGATGACAGACCAGATATCCCTTCACACCACCTCTCATATTGCAGCCCGTCACTCCTAGGAGTCACCACACTACAAACTCCTACTCTTTTGCCCTACTTTTATCTCCTCAAGAAATACCCACCCTGGAAGGATCCAGCAGTTGTTCAATCTGTTTATCCTTTCTATTGTTCTCCTCTTCCAGTCGACGGAGCTTCGTTTTCATTCGGTCTCCCTCATTCTTCTGAGCTTGTATTGTCTAAGAGAGGGGAGAAGAATCTTAAGCACATTTCAGAAATAGGAAAATGCAGACTTTTCACATGCAAACACATTTTGATGTCAACACCAATCCAATTATGGAAAAAGAGGAAAAACCAACAAAAGACAAAAACATCACACTGGACCAGGGAAGCCACCAGGACAGGACAACTTAGAGAGGAGACAGAGGGAAGATAAAAGGAAAAGGTCTAACAGAAAGACAAATTACACAAATGATCAACCACAGCCAAGGTATTTGTCTATAGGTAACGCCAGAACTCAACAAGCCCAGTCCACACCCTTCATACACTGCACTAACCTCTACAGGAAACCCACCCTAACCATATCACCACAGTGAAATTGTATTAGACAGACACAAGTTTTAGTTTAGCCCTACATTACAAATGCAAAAAATGTGGTGGATGTTCCAAGTTGTAGAAACCAAAGTATTCTGGATCATTAAGGCCAGGATATGTACAGGATGGAGCAATGCCATGACTTTTTCTGTAAGTATCAGAGAAACTGTACCTTTTTCAGTTCTATAATTTCATCATACATATCTTCTTTCTCTTTGTAGTCAGGAGTTCCAGGAATATAGCCTACAGAAAGGGGTATGTAAAATAAGTAGATCCAAAAGAGGTATTTTTAACCAACCAGAAACCTTGCAGTTAAAGAGAAATATCTAGATCAGCACCAAAGTGGAAACTAGGTTTTTTTCTTTCCTAGAAGAAGAAAAATCAGCAAGGAAATTAATTTTAGAAACGGAGGTGAAGTGGAAGCATTACTGTATGAAACTTATGCCAGATTTTGCAGCCAATTTTTTCCTAATTACTTCTCTTCTCTGGTGTTATATTAAAGTATCCATCTCAAGAATAATACAAACTTCACAGAATACTGCAGTCTTCTCATCCCAATAAATCCATAATTTACAAAAGGTTTCTAAAATATGTCTAGAATACATTTTTTTTATTTATGCTTTTTATTTATGCACAAATATATCACCTTGTAAAGCTGCCAGAAACTGTGTATCACCAGTAAAAGTATAGGTGTCACTTTAAATAGAAGTGGAATTTTAAAGTTTACAGTTCTCCTTTTAGAAAAGTAGAATAAAACTTTGAATGTTTGCTCTTCTCATAAAACTCATTTGATTTTAATGTCACAACCACATGATAAAACACTTTCTAGAGAAGAAGTAAAAGGAGTCAATTACATAGAATTTCATGCAAGCAGATGGTTTCTATCAATGGCTCCTAAACTATGTTTTGAAGTCACAATAAATTGTCTACAGCTGTCCCATTGAACCATATTATATTTGCAATGTTTTCAGCTGCAAATGCAAGGCAATTTGCAAAAGTTCTGAAAGCTAATGGTGATTCATTGCTCAAAAAAATTGGAAATCCCTGCCTTAACCAATTTAGGAATCTCAAAAAGTATCTCATGGATCATATTTTGACATATACATTTTAGCAAACTAAAATGGCTCTTGCTTTACTGAAGCTAAGATCTTAAGCAGTGTGTGTTTTTAGAGGAGAAAAAAGATCATTTACTTTTATCTACCACACCATTACAGAGTTTACCATTACTGGAAGAACGAGAATGTTTTGGCTTCTTCATTCCTAGAGCTTCCTTCAAATATTCTGGAGTGCTACTGGAAATGTTAACTCGCATATGCCCTGTGTCAACATCTGATTCCAGAGCACGGCTCATTCCTGCCAAGAGAAATGGAACAAAAATACAAAAATCAGGGGTAATTTTGAATTAAATTTGTGGAGTTATTCTGAGCAAATGCAACATGGAAAGCTCCAGATGCTGCTAATTATTCCCTCTATAAATGCCAATGCTCAAGATCAGATAATTCCAACCACCCAAATAAATTACAGTGAAATTAATTCCTATGTAACCTTTAATCAAATACAAATCTATTTTTAATAGTTTATATGTTAAGCTATCCACAACAATGAATTTCATCCATAAATGCAAACAACATTTCTATACTAATACCTTGTTTCAGAGATCCCAGCCACATCTGCCTTGGGTTTTTAACAGCTGCATTCTCAAAACAAGCACTGCCCGTTCCCTGCAGAGATCGCCAAGCTGCAGCTTTTTTAGGATACAGTTGTGTGCTTGAGCTGTAGGGAGACTCTATAGCAAAAGAAAATATCTCACTGTTGCCTTCAAAAGCTCAAGATCACTAAAATTCTTGTCTTGTCCTTCAAAGTTTCCAGACTCAATCCTATTACTTGTAAAAATAGAATTTAACAGCATATTCCATACTGGCTTATATGGAGCAATGGGACAGTCACATAAAGAAATCCTCCAAAACTCAAAAAACTCCACTAGAAAGAAAAAAATACAATTCCAAAAAATGAAGAGGCTTAGAAAAACGCAGAGTGACAGCAGTATAACTCAACACACGTGGAAATATTTATGTGTACAGTTTGGATAGGCATCCCTATAATACCTGCACATCCAAATGTTGTTATTAATGACACTGGGGGATAAAGCCTTCTTTGAAACATTCACTAGAAGCCTATGAAGGGATGTAAATGGAAGAGTATAGCAAAAAACATAAACCCCAGAAAAAAGGGACAAACAATATTAAAGCTGCAGATCTAATATTAAAAATAACAACATTGTACTGTGAAAAAAAAACCCAACCCATCACAACAAATAAAACAGAGAATGACTAAATCTACACAGATATCTATGACTGGATGGTAGAGAGCTCCACTAATTCTACAGTCTCTCTGCACAACAAGTATCAGCATTTCTCCAAAAAGATAAGAACAAAAAATTCAAAATGCTTGCCATCAGAAGGCATAACATGAGAAAAAAGTCATCTGTGCTGGAGAGTCCAGAATTCAACCAATCCATTAATGTCAATATTTTAGTCTAAGTTGCATTTCACAGGTTACAGAACAGACCCCAAATAGATGTGCTCTGCACACAGCAGTGAATAATTCTGAAGAGAATAACAAGACGTTTTCTCAAGTAAAGCTCCCAGTTCCTGTATCCCACAAACATATCTGGTTTTGCAGTTGCAGAATAAGAAGTTTTGGAACACTTACTTGGTGACTTTGGAGGCTTGTGAAGAATCTTTTTCTTTAACTTCTGAAAGAGAAATAGGTTTTTTTATGTATTGAAAATACGCAACTCTTAAGACTTTATCATATAATCTCAAAACTGCCTTCAATCTCCATTTTCTATGAAGATCTTTTGTTCTAATAAGACAAAACATTTTCTATAGAAAAGAAAAATAGTAGCATCAAGCATACATAGATTTGGACACAGTAATGGTCACCAGGATCAAGGTTGTGCCAACTGAAGTCTGATTATACAGATAAATTATCAATTCTTGCTCAGAACATAAGACCTTTCCCACCAATATTAAATATGAGTGGCAGCAAATTCAAGATGATCAGAGGCTGATCTGTAGAACCCTTTAGCTAAAGGAGTTATTCAATTCTATTAAAACTCTCTAAAAGGATTACATAAGCCCACAGCTTGATAGAACAGCAAAATAAAGCCAAACATCATTTGCAGCCCCAGTGCTGAGAATCTGGAAGCCAGAATTACATCAGAAATCAGAGGTTTGTGATTCAAGCCCATTGCAGCACAACTGTTCACTCTCCTCTCTGAGGGGTGCTTGTTGAGCAGGAAGCACCACACAGATGCAGCAGGCATGCAGATGCTTTCTGGAGCATTAATCAAAACTCACCATTGCTGTGTCTGACTCGCAGGTTATCACAGACAGGCTGTCATCTCCCTGGGAAACACAGACAGGACATTTGCTATTGACCACCTGCTTGTAATACACATCCAGAAAACTTCTACACTTCAACAAAGTTGGAACACAATAAATTCAAACAGCAAGCACTGTGACCTCTGTTTCTCTTCCACTGCATTGCTAAAATGTAAACTGTTCAAGATAAAAATGAGCCATTTTTCAAAAACACTAAAGTCACTGAAAGATGGTGGGGCTCTTGCTGCAAAAGCCAGCATCAGTTGCTCTAGTACAAATAGTTTCGGGATATTGTGAAAGTCACTTCAGAAATGAACCATCATAGAATGCTTTGGGTTGGAAGGGACCTTAAAGATCATCCAGTTTCAATTTCTGTGCCATGAGCAGGGACACTTTGCACTTGAGTCACAGAGATTTGGCACTGCAGTGCACAGCATTACACCAGCTGAACCTTCAGCTGGCTTTGCATGAATTTCTCCACCATCTAAGCTGCAACTCACTCAGCTCTTCCTCACTCACCTGTCCTACCCCTGCTATGCTATGGGAAAGCTCAGTTTCCATATTGAAATGAAGAAGAGCTCAGGCCCAGGGAAAAATCCTCAAACGCAAGGAAGACAAGCTTCCCTCCCTCTCAAATGCAGGCACATCCACAGCTGAAGGAAAATTTCCACTTAGCTTTCAAATTATGCGGATGCTGCCCTCACAGAAAGACCTTTCCCACTTACTGCTCACTCTGTGGCACTCAGCACCAATCTTTGGACACAAAGAGACTGATCTGTACCTGTAAGATGCAAAGGATGAAGTGTTTTTTGAAACCCTGGAAGAACAGGAGCAAGGATTGACAACAGAGCAGGTTAAAGAGCCTGCCATGCTGGCTGAGAGCGAGCAGGGATGTGTCCTCACACACCAGGCCATAGAATTTTTCATTTCCTGAGGCAATGCTCCTTGCAGCACACTGATTAATTTTGTTACTTTAAGGCGCCTCATTCTGAAATATCTCTCTCCCTAACTGCAGCTATCATATTTGGAATCAGAGAATGTGGAGGGTGCTCAGACTTCATAAATGGTAATATAAGAACATTCACCAAGATACAAACGTGCAATAACAGCCCCACCACTATTGCTTGGTAACCTTCACAGCCCCTTTGCTCCTACAAAACAGCCCCAACCTGAGCCACCTACAGCAGGCAACAACAGAACATGGGGGCTCCCAAAGGGGCTCAAAACCTCCATCTGGCTGCTGACAGGGTGGGAAACAAACACCAACACAGAATCACAGAATTATTAGGTTGGAAAAGATCATGGAATCCAACCTATGAACCAATATCACCTTACCAACCAGACCAGGGCACTGAGTGCCATGTCCAGGCTTCCTTTAAGCACCTCCAGGGACAGCAAATCCACCACTTCCCTGGGCAGCCCATTCCAATATCTAATCATCCTCTCTGTGAAGAAATTCTTCCTAAGGTCCAACCTAAACCTTCCTTAGCGCAGCTTGAGAGTTCGTCGCTTGTGTGCCGTGCTGCGGGGCAGTGAAGGAGACACAGGCAGAGCCCGGGGTCCCGCGGGCTGCAGACGGCAGAAGCCATCCCACTCCCCACCCGAGCCGTCGTCTCGCCGGCCTGGCAAGCCCGGGGGCGCTCCGCGGTTTTGCTCCGACCTTGCGGGAGCGTTTCCTGAGCCGAGCCCGGGCCGAAACAGGCCTACACCCGGGGCCTTCTCCTCCTCCCCGCCGCTCACTCCTTACCAGCTCCCCCTCCGCGGCCGCCTCGCCGGCCCCCCGGGCCATGGTGGGAGAGTGGCGGGAAGGCCTCACGGGGCGGCGGGGCCGCGGGGGCCCCCTCGGGCCGTGGCTGCCGGCTCAGGGCTGGGGGCGGCCATGGCTACCAGCGGCACTTCCGGGTCGCGGTAACCATGGCAATCGTCGCGCAGTGCCAGCGCCCCCCAGCGCCCCGGGGTAGTGGCGCATGCGCAGAGCCGCGGTGCCAAGGGGGGCGCTAGGCCTGGCCGCGGAGCGCGGGTGACACCAAGCGGCCCCGCAGCGAGCGAAACCCCAGCGGGCGGCGGAGCGGCTCCTGCGAGGGCTCCGCTCCACTGCCAGGCCAAGAGCTTCTGCCCGAGAGCGCTCGGACAACCCCGGGCAGGGCGCGACCCCACCCCGTGCACCACGGGCGGCGTCCCGCGCCCACCGCCTGTCCCGGGAGCGCCCGGGTCACGCCCCTTGACCGCGCGGTGACCACGCCCCTGCTGCCACAGGCCACGCCCCCTTTGCGACACTCGCCGTGCGGCCGTGCCGGCCCGGGGTCCGTGCCGGTGTCGGTGCCGGGCCCGGTGTCCCCGGCCATGTGCGACCCCCAATCCCGGTTCGTGGCCCGGGCCCGCCGCCGCTTCGCCATGACCCGCGAGTGCGCCGTGCTGCTGCCCGGTGTCTGCACCGCCCTGGCCGACCCGCGGCAGCCCGGCCTCGACGACACCTGCCTGGAGAAGCTGCTGGACTGGTTCCGCAGCCTGACGTGGTTCGGTGAGTGCCGGGGGCTGGTCCGAGGGGAGCGGAGGTCCATCACGGAATCCCAGAATAGTTCGGGTTGGAAGGGACCTCTGGAGATCATCCAGCATCCTGCCAATGCAGGGTCCCCTAGACGGGAACAGGTCCAGGTGGAATTTGCGTGTCTCCACAACTATCCGAGGTGCTGTGACACCTGAAAATGCTGTGGGTGAACCCGAATTCATCAGTTCTAACAGTTGGCAGGGCTTCCCTCAGTTTCAGGGGGCCACTTTAATGAGACAGGAGAGTCCTGGCAGTGACCTGCTGTTTTCTGGTCTCTCCTGGGCAGATGCGACTGTGGAGCTGGTGCAGGATAACCCGTGTCTGACAGAGCTCATCAGCTCCATGCTGGCCCTGGCAGATCCCAGCCCCAGCATCCTGGCCTTCACCCTGCAGCTAGCCGGGATCCTCGCCTCTTCCGAGAGCCGCTTCCAGCACCTGCAGGTGAGTCGGCCACCCAGGTACCTGCTGCTGTGTGTCTGCCTCCTCCTGTATGCATGATCCCTGAAAGCGTGCATATTCTGCTTAGTAAATTTATGGCTGGCATGGAACAACTCAGCAGAAGTGATATGACAACAGAGGCCTACAATCAGCGTTCCTGTTCAATTCCCATGTAAAGCTGCTTCTCGCAGCTGTCTCACCGCAGCAGGACTGTGAATGCTGATGTGTGGTGCTTCCCATTTTTAGTTTAAAAGAATGTATGGGGTAACACTACTTCACAGCAGTCACTACACAGTAGTGTGTCCCAGGACACATCCTGTAGATTTAAACTGCACTAACAACTGCCATTTTCCCTCCATAGAAGGGTGACAGGAAATTTTTGATTCCCTGCAAAATAGAGGGAGCTTTTTAAAGCCTTGCTTTCTGCAACAGGATACATGTTAGTACAAAACCCAAAAGGCTTCCTTTGGGGAAGAGATGTGTACAGGTGTATAAAGCAGTCTGGTGGAACTGATACACATAAGTTGTCCCTTAGCACATGAAAACAAAGCAGTTTTGGTTTTGAACAGTCCAGTTTATCCATATGTTGCGTTTAAGCATGAGATTCTGAAAATTGCCCATTTTAATGAAACTTCTAGCAAGAGGAGGTTTCACTAGAGTATTGGTACTCTTGACTTGGACAGAGCAGCCCTTTTGCTCAGTGTTTTCTCTGTGTTCTGCCCTGCCTCAGCAAGAGAAGCTGCTGGGGAGGCTCTTCGGCCAGGAGGGGCCGCGGGGCGGCGCGGCGTGGGAGGACGCGTCGGTGCGCAGCGCCTGGCTGAAGGGTGTGCACAGCATGCTGCACCACCAACCTGCCCTGCACTTCCTCTGCTCCACGGGTGAGTGCTGCTGGGGCTGCCATCCCCCCACATCTGCTGTGTCCCTGCCATTCCAGGCTGTTGCTCACATGTCAAATGAGCAAGATGGGAGTGTTTGTTTATTTAAGATTAAAATAAGCCATTTGTCAGAACACCAAAGTCGTTGAAAGATGTTGGTTAAATTAGCTGAACATTAAGTTAACCTTTGTTAAGTTAGTTATGCGTTTGTTTTTTTTCTCCAAACACTGAAGGTGGTGCTCTTTTAAGAGAGGAAAGAATCTTACAAAATTACCCTTACAAAATTAAGAGCTATCTGTATTCCTATTTATAACTGCTACTAAAGGGCACATTTCAGCATGATTTTAGTGCAGAAAAACTAAGCAGAGGCTCATTCATATCTTTGTGCTTGCACAAATTTGCAATCCTGTTGTTGTTATGGAAGTATGTAAATTGTGCTGTTAACACCAACTTTAGAACCCATGTACAGAGGGGTCTAAAAGACTGTATTGGTATTAAAGAGCAGCACAAACTGCTGTCCATGTGATGGGAAAGTGGTACTGATACTGCTGTTCAGGTTTTTCCTAGTGGTTATGGCCAGAGATGGTACAGGCTCTGTCCATAAATACACATTGAGTGTGCTGTCAACTCTCTTAATGTTACTGATGTTATATTGAAATCTGATCCTGAGTTATTAAACCCCTGAGGATCTGAAAACAATTTTATCTTCTTCTTCCATTTGCTTGTTCCTAAGGACTGGCTGACTTTGAGTAGAGATTACAAAATAAAGTGTAAGGAAATCCCACCATCACCATTTAACGCTGTGTGGTACCTGAATTAGAGTCATAAATGGTTGGTTGTTCCTCCAGTGACTTGTTTTGTTTTCCCACAGGAGGCATGGATGTGATCTTCACTCTGCAAGGTGATCCCAGCCTGTTTGTGGCTTCAGCTGCCAGCCAGCTCCTGGTGCACATGTTCACCTTCTCCCTGGAGTCTGAAACATCGAAAGCTCTCAGTACAAAGGACTGTGAGTGGCCAGCGTGTGCCCAGATGATTGTCAAGCACATAGAAGAGTCACTTCAGTCCAGCTCTGCCTCTCACATTGAGCAGTCCCTGAAACTGTTGAGCAGTTTGTTTGGCAGTTGTTTTGGCAGTTGTTATGCTTCATGGACTGAAGTCCTTTGGTTAGACATAGCAAAGCAAATAGAATCCTTTCTGCTGGAAGAGACTGTTCAAGCACAGCCTGTGCTATCGGATCTTTTGCTTAATGTGGCACGGTAAAGATCTTCTGGCACCTTGGAGCCTGTGCTGACATAGATCTGTTTGCCACCATGGAATAGGTTACACTTACACTTCTGTCTTCTCAGGTCCCCTGTGTTTTGTGGCACTGAAGGCAGCTTTTGGGCATTAGTAACTTCTGCTCTGGAACACTTAACCCCAGTACAAGCAGGTCCTCTGGCAGTGGGACTTTTGAAGCTCTGCAAATGGTAGGACTTACTGCAATGAAATTTCTGCACTATGCAGGTGTTTCTGCTCCATGATTCCCCTTTAGATAGTGAAAAAGCAGCAGGAAATCATCAGATGGATACAGCGCACACAGATACTGATTTACAGGCTAAGTAACACTCATATTCTAAGATAGGACACTCTTTTGTTGACAAGATATGCCTCTCTCCCAGCCTCCTTACACAGGATCTCACTCTCTAGTTGCTTAACTTGATAAAGCAGCTTCTAAATTCCAGAGCAATTTATCCTCTGCTTTCAGTTAGCAAGGGGACCTTAGAAAAAGGTTCTCTTCTGCTATCTGAAGGTCCCCTACTGTTCTTGTTGCTCTGTCATTGCTGGCTTGTTTAAAAGCCTGCATGAAAAGCATTGTCCTGCTCAGCATTTGGGAGCAGGTATTTGGGAAGGAATTGAAGTGTACTTGTGTTGGTAACTGCTGTTTCCTCCTTGAAGCCCACAAGATGTCAGAATTCAGGCACTGACTGTTCTGCTTCAGCCAATGGACTGTATTTTGAGAGCAGCCTCCCAGCCTCTGGAATGTGCAGGTACAGTTGTGACAGAAAAGTTAGAGGCCAGTGTTCTTGCCAGTATTTTAAGTGCCTAGTGCAGACCAAATTGGAGGAAAAATAGTAGGAGGAGTCAATGACAGTAGCAGTGTTTGTGGTAAATCCTACTGCCAGTTGCATTTGAAGGGATATTCATACTACATTGCCAGAATATCTTGGTATTCACAGCCTTTTCTATTCATTGATGACTTGAGCTCTTCCCTTCTTTGGTCCTCTAGGTTTGCTGGATGAGTCTGTCAGTGATCCTGTCACTGTTGAAAGTCTTCTGTCCTCCAAGGCATCTTGTGCTGGTCTCTTGTGTCAGACCCTGGCTCACCTGGAGAAGCTGCTGTCTCTGGTAACATTCAGGGAGAGAAAAAAACAGCCTGGGAATCAGACTGGTCCTTGAAAGACAGCGTTAAGATGGTTGCAAACTTTTGCAGTAGAGCATAACAATGTGGAGAGGAGTTGGCAGTGAGGGTTTCCATAGTTAAAGGAAATTTAGCACAGCAGGCTCTAAATAGGAAAACAGAGGGATACTGAGACTCTTAAAGAGGGACTGGGCTTAAGTTTTAAATTTGTCTTGATGAGCTTTGTTAGCATACCTTACTTGTATTGCAGTTATTGATCCTGAGAAGAAACACAAATTGAACTGCTTTCCCAAGCAATGGGAAGAGTCTCCTTCTATCTGTGCAATAGTTCTTGGAAGAGAGGAAGATAATTTATTTGCAGTTATTGACACTGTGGTACCTGAAGAACTCACTAGAATTTGCAATTTTTGCTGCCTTCTGACTTAAAACTGCTCTGTACTTGAGACTGTTGCTGGAAACTCTTTTCTTTCTCACCCATTAGAAACATTTAAGAGTGGATTTACCCTGTGTGTCTTTGCTGCGCTCTCTCATGACAATATTGCAATTCTGCAATGGCTTCCTGAGCCAAACTTCTCCTCTAGGAAGCAAAATAAGCCGGAATTTGATCAATTGCTTCAGAGTGCAGAAGTCAGCTCTT